CTCCACCAAGGTGCCGCCGAATTAGCCCGCGCCACACGCGGCTCGCAGCCCTGATGCAACCTTGTTTAGTGCAATTGGTGGGAATCCATTATATTGACAATATCCATTTGTGTAATTCCTGCATTAGGATTTTGTGCTAAACTGTGTTTGAAAGGCACTGCTGACCCTGATTACCTCTTTAATTGTGCTTAAAAATCCAGATTAATTCAGAGGCGAAGTCAACCGTGCCGGGCAGGGGCCTTGCTGGGCCCCAGCAGTGGACGGCCTCCAGGCTCCCGGGGGTAGCCAGTTCCGGAGTGTGGGCTCTTACCCTCGGAGCTTCTGGAAAACCCCGGAGCCTGGGCAGGCGGAAAAGAATGACAGCGGCTCCCAAATGTTGAGGGGCGCTGGCCGTGTGAACCCCCCCTTGCTCCTGGCCAGTGAGTTAGAGCTCACTTTTCCCAGGTGAGGGGCAGAGTCAGAGGCCGGGCGGGTCTGGGTGTCCTCTTCAGAGAGGCGGGGAGTGCTCTGCATGGCCCCCAGCTCTTCCTGCCACTTGTGGGCCTGAAGGAGGCTTGGGGCCATCCTGCAGATTCTGGGGTGCCCGCCCACACTGGGGGGGAATCAACCAGACATGGCACCCCACAGGAGGAGCGAGGACCCTGGGGTCCGGCTGAGCTGGCTCCACATCTTGGCTCCTCCCTGACTTGCTGACACAAGACCCTTCCCCCACGTGAACCTGTCTCCCCATCTGGACAGCAGAGTCCTGAGCGGCCTGACAGGTCCTTTGGATGCCATGAGATCTCCTCGGTGGTCCATCCCCAGTGCAGGCAGACACACAGTGGGTGCTGAGCAAAGGCTTGTTGTTCTGTCCTTGTCTGTCCCCCTCCTCAGCTCTCAGGGCAGCGTGGGGGTGAGGTATTCACATCCCTGGGTTCACGCCACGAGGTGTCTGTCCCTAGAGCACATCAAATCCCCTGGGGCAGGGTCACAATTTCCGGGGTGGGCTCTGGGGGAGCAGAGGGAGGGGCAGAGCACCCCCAAAGCCCTCAGGCAAACACGCACAGGACCCCCATATCAGGGGCCGGGGAGCGCCAGCCAGTAGACTCCAAATACGTCTGAGACTCAGGGCTCTGGTCCAACCCAACACCAGAGACACGGGAGTGGGGCCCTCCCCCTTTGCCCTGTCTGAGCCCCACATCTGTGTGCACCAGATGGGGACGGTGAAGAAGGTCACCTGAGGATGGGACGGAGGAAACGCCCTGGACCCTGAATCCAGCGCACAGACACGACTAAGGCAACCCCCTGCCAGCTCTCCCCAGGGGATCCCTGGGTGGTCCAGCTGAGGCTGGCGCCTTGGGGCCTGCGGAGTGGGATCGGCACCCCAGAGGTTGCCCTGTCTTGGTGCCCCGTCACTCAGTCATGGTGGCAGGCTGCCCTGGGGAGGGGCTCTAGCATCCAGGCATTTCCAGGCCAGCCAGGGGCACCCTGCGGCCAGCAGCCCCGCACAGGGGAGGCAGAGGCTGGCGCTCACCCACCCCAAGCGCGGGAACCGGGTCCATGACTTAGGGAGGCCCGGGCACCTCGTCCACCGGTCATGCACACACAAGTATGCTTGGTTCTAACACTTTCACCAAGGTAGGATTCCCACACCATGCACCCCCGCATGGTGCGCTGTCCCATTGTCCCATGCCTCCGCAGGTACATGCAGCCAGTTCCATGACACCTCCGTACCCCCGGTGGCAGCCCCTGCCCCGTGGCACCCACCCCCGTTCCCCTCAGAGCACCCAGCTCCCAGCAACCCCTAACCTGCCACATAATTCTGTGGACTTGTGCATGCCGGATGCCACATAGGAATGGAGGCCACGGGGCCTCTGCCCACGGTCCACACTGCAGCACGCATCTGCACCCTGTTCCTTTCTGTGGCTGAGTAATACTCTGTGGTTCAGGTACAGCATCCTGGCCTCACCCGCTCACCCACCGGTGGGCACCTGGGCTCTCTCCGGCTTGGGGAATCACACGCAACGGTGCTGTCGGCATCCATGCGCAGTTTTGTGTGCGGCTGGGCTCACCCTCTCTTGGCCACATGCCCAGGAGTGGAATTGCTGGGTCACATGACTGCTCTGTGTTTAACTGTCAGAGGGACGACCAGAGCGCTTTCCGTTCTGCGTTGCCACCGACAGCACACGAGCGTTCCAGAGTGTCGGCGTCCTCTCCAGCACGTGCCGTCTGCCTCGTTAACTGGGGGCACCCTGTCGGCTGTGATGTCCTGTCCCGCTGGGGCTGTGACCTGCACGGACACCAGCTCCCGAGGCACCGTTTCCTGGCTCATGGGCCATCTGTGTACCTTCTTTGAAGAAATGTCCATTCAGATCCTTGCCTCGTCTTAAAAATTGGGTCCCTTGTCTCTTTTACCATATTTTCGAGGCACAAATGCTGTATTGCATATGTGATTTGCAGACATTTTCTCTCATTCTGTGGGCTGTCCTGTCACTTCCTTGCTGCTGTCCTTTGAGACACAAAAGTTGTAGATTTTGATGACATCCAGTTGATCTCTTTGTTCTTCTGTTGCTGGTGCTGTGGGTGTCACAGCCAAGAAGTCATCGTCCAGCCCAACGTCATGGACACTTGAGTCCCCGTCTTCTGAGACTTTCGCGGCCTTGGCCATCACGTATAGGTCTTGATATAATGTGAGTCCACCTTTCTCGAAGGGAGGGAGAGGAGCTTCCCTCTCGCGTGTGGATGCCCAGCGTGCTGGCACCGTTGGCTCAAAAGGCTGTCTTTGCCCTACTGAACTGTATCCGCACCCTTGTCAGAGGTCAGTGGACAGCAAGTGTCGGGGTCACTCTGGACCCCAGTTATGTCCGTGAGCCCCATGGTTGTCCTTGCGCTGGTACCACTGTGTCATGATTGCTGCACCTTTGTATTTACTTATTTGAGAGAGAGAGAGAGCATGAGCAGGGGAGGGGCAGAGAGAGGCAGAGAGGGAATCCAAAGTGGGCTCTCGCTGTCAGCACAGAGCCCAACCCAGGGCTCACGACTGTGAGATCTTGACCTGAGCTGAAATCAAGAGTCAGATGCTCAGCTGACTGAGCCCCCAGGCGCCCTTGTGATAACTTTAAATCAGGACACATGCGTCCTCCTCATTATTTCTTCTTTCTCAGGATTGTTTTGGTTTTCTTGGCCGCTTGAACTTCCACTGAATTTTAAGATCCTCTTGTTAATTTCTGCCAAAAAAAAACGTGAATAAATAAAAACCAGGATTTGTATAAAGATTCACCAAATCTGTGGAAATTACGGAGTGCTGACATCTGCCCGATCTAGGAACATAGAGTGTCTTTCTTAAATCGGCCTCGACAGTGTTTCCTGGTCTCAGAGCACACGTTTTGTTAGATTTGTTCCCAAGTATCATATCATCATAAAAATCCTCTGGTGTGGCATCCGCAGGGGATAAAGCTAATACCATGTGGCCGTGGAGCCGGCCAGAGAGGAGGGGGACACTCCAGACAGGTGGTCTCTTGCCGTGAAGTGAATTCCCCAGACATCGTAGGCGTCTGCCTGCGGGGAAGCCACGGGTCCCTTGCCCCGCGTGCCACCTTCCAGGGCCGCCCCGCTGCAGGCAGGAGGCCCCGGTCCTGATGTGGGAATGTTCCTAGAGCCCCCAGGCTTCCCCTGCGAGGGGCCCGAGGGGGCGAGAGGGCTGCGGCACCCTCAGAACCTCATCCCAGAGCCCCCACACTGTCTGCCGTGCCACATTCCCTCTGTTAGATGCAGGTCACCGAACCCAGCCTGCTGCTGAGGGGAAGGGACTTTGTCACCACTTTTCTGTGGACACGTTTTAAACCCACGACGGGCGGTGGCCTCCCGACCTCTCTGCTCCAGACCTTCGATCAAGAACCCTGAGTCCAGCAGCTTGAGAGGCAGGAGGGACGGGAATCACAGAGCTATTGGGACAGGACCAGGACCTTCGGGGCAACTGGGTGCCCACCGCTGCCCACGCTGCCCCAGAGCACAGCAGCTCCACGCCCCGGTGCCACAAGAGCGGTGGCTGTTCTCTTTCACATGTGCACAGCCCTGTACAGTTTGCAAAACATCCTCCACGACAGTGACAGGATGCACCAGTGGGTCTTTCAGGTGTCACTGTGGTGACACTTCACTGTTTACAGATAAGCAAATGGAGGCCCAGACGAGGAATATCCCCTCCCCCCTCCGTCGTACAGGCCGTATGGGACAGCCCCTGAACCCAGGACGCACCTGTCTCCCTGCAGCTCTGGTTCAGAGATGGGGCCTCGCCCACAGCCCCAGAGGGTCCTCTGAGACACGGGTCCTACACAGCCCTCCTTCACCGCCTTAAGAACCCCGGGGTCAAGGACAAAGAGAGTGAAGAGCCGCTCTGGCCAGTGGTCCTAGTATGCTGGACACTTTGTGCTCAGTGACTACACTGCCCCCCCCATCGAGAGTGGGACGCCTCCCTGGGGTAAGCTTGCTCCTGCATCCTTCTCTCCTCACCTTGTACCCCAGGTTTCCAGACAAGAGTCGGCCCGCCCACCCCTTCCTGCGGCGGCCTCCCACCCACTGCCAGCCCGGCCCTGGTCCAGGCCAGGAGGCACCCCTCCCACCCCGAGTTATTTACTTTCCTTAATAACCTTTTATGAGGGGCCTGCATGGCCTTCAGGAGAGCGGCGGAGCCGGCTCTGGGGTCATCCCTCGGATGTGATTTTATTAACTTAAAGTCGGCCCGAGGCAGGTGAGGCAGCGGCCCCTCCCTGGCCACATGCTGGCCGCCTGGCCTCCGCTGGAGGTGTGGGTAGCTGGGCCCGTTAATTAAACCCGTGTCCATGCTCTGCCCGCGCCTCCGACGGTGGGAAGCCCCGGCGGCTCAGACCCGTGGTGCCGCCACCTGCCTGCTCTGTAGCGCTCCCTGTCCACCTGCCTCTCAAAGGTGCCTGGGCTCTAAAATTTAATCAATTTCCTATTTAATCAAAATCAAACCATTTTATTTAATGCTACAGTTAATCGATTGTATTGAAGTATAATTTATACTCTGTAGAGTGCTCCCACTTTAAGCATACCATCCGATGAGTTTTGACAACTGTATACACTCCTGAGGCATCACCATGGTCCAGACGGGATGACCCTGCTGGAGTCACACGGGCCACCAAGCGCTGGAAGCGTGGCTGGTCCAAACAGGTGAGAGTGCATGTGAAATACGCGTCAAGTTTGGAAGAGAAGAGCGTCTGGGGAGAAAACTACACTATCTCACTAATGATTTCCACGGTGACTAGGTGTTAAACAGTAATGTTTCAGCACACTGAGTTGATACAATGTAGTATTGAAATTAACGTCACTGTTTCTTTCTGCTTTTTGAATGAGTCCGCAGGCTCATGTGGCGCTGCTGTTGACCAGGCGGTGCAGAGCGCTCCCTCCTGCCAGAAAGTTCTGCGTGCCTCGCCCTCCTGCTCCACTGCCCGGTAGCCCTGACCTGGGCACTGTCCCTCCGAGCCCACGTCCCACCTGTGAGATGGACTAGGACTTTGCCGCCTGGGCTTGTGTGCGTCTGCAGGGCCCCCAGCTGTGGGCGGGGCCATCACCCGCAGGCAGTGCCTTCCAACTTCTGGTTCTCCCTCCTGGTCAGTTCTGGAGGAGGGGGTGCGGGGACGGGGGCACCCCCTGCTCTCAGACGCCCCAGAGGGCCGGACCTCGTTCTGCAGTTACTGGCGGAACACGTGCACAAATACAGGGGGAGGGAGGCCCTTCCGGAAGACAACACACAGAGAAAGAATATGGAATTCCAGAATTCACCTTTGGCTGCCCCATAGAAACCATTGATTGGAGCGAGAATCACCAATAACGTAAGACACAGGGTGTGAGGGGGAGGGCGTCCCCACTGTGTTGGGCGTCTGCCCACTGTGACTCCAGCCCCTGCCTGTGTCACAGGAGTCCCCTCAGCCCCTGGCCCACGTCAGGAAGAAACATCACACAGGATGCAGGCCCACGTGGAAGGAGGGGTGTTCGACCGGTGACTTGCCTGGACTGTTTGAAATGTCGATTCCTCGAAAGACAAAGGAAGACTGATTCCCAGCCAAGGGAGGCCAAAGAGACAATCGGAGACCCCTTGAGCATGGGCTGGACCGAGGTTGAGTGGGTGTGCCGGCAAGGATACTGGGCAGGGCACAGGGCCCGAGCGTGAGCGGTGCAGGCTGGGCCTGGGGGCAGGCTACAAACACAGAGTCTCGGGCCACCCCACACTGGCTGAACCCAAACCTGTGTATTTTTAATTTTCTTGACAGTTTTACTGATGTCTCATTGACTTCACATATTTAAAGGGTGTATTGGTGGGGCACCTGGGGGGCTCAGTTGGTTAAGTGTCCCATCTCAGCTCAGGTCATGATCTCACGGTTTGTGGGTTCGAGCCCTGCATCAGGCTCTGTGCTGACAGCTCAGAGCTTGGAGCTGCTTCGGACTCTGTGTCTTCCTCTCTCTCTGCCCCCCCCCACCAGAAATAAACATTAACATCTTAAGCACTGCCACACTGTTTTCCAAAGCAGCTGCACCGTTCTCCATTCCTGCCCAAGATGCATGCAAGTTTCCACACTGTGCCCGACCCTGACTGTGGTCGATCTTACTCTTAGCTGCCCTAGGCTGTGTGTAGGGTGGCGTGTCTCAGTGTGGGCGTGGCGTTTCCCAAGGACGTGGCTGGTCAGCATCTTTCTGTACTTCTTTGCCATCTGTACATCTTGGGGGAAATTAGGATTGAAATATTTTACCAAGTTTTGACTGTTTTTACTGGTTTCTTATTGTTGAGTCTTGAGCACTCTTTATATATTCTGGTACAAAGTCTTATATCAGGCATACAGTTTGCAAAGATTTCCTCCCCTTTTATGGTTTGTCACTTTGTTCTCTTAGTGTCTTTCAAAGAACAGAGGTTGTCGTTTTGATAAAGTCCAGTTTATGAATATTTTATTTTATGGATCATGCTTTTGGTGTCATATCTAAGAAATCTTTACCTACCCCATGTTTAGGAAGATTTTATCTTTGTAAAAGCATTTTATGAAAGATTTTATCTTTGTAAACACCCAGAACAAGTGTTATAGTTCGGGAGCTTTACTTCGAGGTCTGTGATCCATTGGATTTAATATTTACATACGGGGTGAGGCGTGGATCATAGTTCTGTTTTTTGGTGTTTTCGTTTTTTACATGGGTGTCCAGTTACTCCAGCACTGTTTGTGGAAAAACCAGCTTTTCCACACTGACTTTGCCCTTCCAGTTTTGTCCAAAACCGGGTGCCCACATATTCTGTTCCATTGGTCTGTTTGTCTGTTCTTCACACCGGGCTCACACTCTCTTTATGAGTGGAGCGTTACAAGACGTCTGAAAATCGAGAATGTTAGTCCTCCAGCTCTTTGAAAAACACTTTCAAAGTGTTTTTTTTTTTTTTTTTTTTAACTATTGTCTAGGCTTTGCATTTCTGCATGAACTTTAGAATCAGCACGCCGCCATCTACAGAAAGCTGGGTTAGGCCCACCTGGAACCGTTAGTGTATTCACTGGCCACTGGGCTTGGGGGCCATTCCTAGATGGGCCCAGCAGAGAGTGGTGGGGAGGGGACTAGACACTCAGATCCAAACCCTGGCTCAGGGCCCACCTTGCATGGCAGTCTGTCACTGCCTGTCTCCTCCTGGGATTTGGGGACAGTGGCACTCAAAGATCCCAAACTGCTGGGGATAAAGGGTGAGGATGGTGTTGCTCAGTGTGGCAGGCAGGCGAGGGTCCCAGGTCGGGCTCCCTGAGCTGCACCCCAGCTCACTGCTGGGTAGGCTTTCTGCACCACCCCGTGCATAAGCCCCTGGCCAGCCTCAAACCCCATGGAGAGGGGACGAGGCTCGTAAAAGAGAGCATTTCCCCAAACCTCAGCACCCTTCACCTGGGCCTTGTAGTAAAAGTAAACAAAGCTAAACAACATTTACTCAGGTGACCAGGCAGCTGGGCTGTGCAGATCTGACTCAGTGTGAAAGACATCCACACGGCCCCAACTCTGCGCTGACTGACCCACTGTCCCTTGGCAACACTCTGCACCAGACCCTGCAGCTACCATGGGGCACATGTGCCAGGGCGCCTGCCCGGCCCAGGGAGCTCCTCTCCAAGCCGCCCAGCTGGCAACAAGCAACCTTCTACCCTCCAGACGGGAGGCCGACCCCCGGGTTCCCATCACATGGTCCCACTGACTCCCTCCTCTTGCAATCTCCCCTGTGCTCCTCGGAGCATGGCAGGGTCACCCCATCATCCCAAAGGTCCAGAGAGGCCGGGACTCTTTCCTGAGGCTGCACAGCTTGCAGGGAATGGGTGCCCACTGGCCTCCTGCTCCCAGCTGACCCCATGGTACCTGGAGAGTCCCTGCCCACCCCCCACCCCCACCTCACCTGCCCTGCTCACCTGCCTTGCATTTGCCCATCCCCCCCGCTCACCTGCCCCCCCCCCCTGCCCTGCTCACCTGCCCTGCTCACCTGTCCCCCCACCTGCTCTCCTCACCTGCCCTGCTCATGGCCCTCCCCACCTTGCTCACCTGCCCTGCTTACCTGCCCCCACCTGCTGTCCGGCCACGCTGCCTGGGGACTGCCTCCTGTCCTATCTGCAGCTTCCCACCCTCCAAAGAGCCACCCCAGCTATTTACCATGGACTCATTTAAGTTGGTTAATTTTTAATAATGTTGAAATTTCCATGTGAATAATTCAGGTAAATTATTTATTAAAGCACAGGATAAAGGGATCAGGAGAATTACCAGTCAACAGTGTTACCTGGGGTGTGGACAGGGTGGGCGAGGGGACAGGGGTAAGTGGGGAGAGGCAGGGGTAGCGAAGGCCTGCTAATCGGGCAGCATCGTGGCCAGGAGGGCGCTCCCCGGCTGGACAAGTGGCGTTGGCACGGATGCCACCAAACCTGCTCCTCCTCCCACGGCCACATTGAGCCCCCAGCCACCTGGTCCTGTGGCCTGGTGGCCTTGTTTCACTCTTGAGCCCCTGTGTCCACTTGTAACAGCTTCCTTCATGCCCCTGATGGCATTTGGGCCCCTCAGATCTGTCCCCAGCAGCCCAAGAGACCTTTCTGTGCACAAGTATGATCACATCCCTTTGCGAGGTCCCCACAGCAGGAGACCCCTCGAGGCCCTCAGAGCCTGACAGGATTCTGCTCTCCACACAGCTCACCGCAGGCTCTTCCTGCCTCTGGACCCTCTCGCCCGCAGGCATCCCCACTGTTCAGGGCACCCCAGCCCCAGCCTCCTCACAGCCCCCCATTCCCCATCCACTTCCCTGGAGCCCTGCCAATGTGAACACCATGAGTCCTTCTCCAGATTAAATCTCTCCCGTGGCCCCCCTGATGCTCCTGGAGCACAGTCCAGGCCCCCTGGCAGTGCACAGGACCCCCTGCTCTCCCGCCTCCTACCCTGCTCCAGTCAGAACAGGTGTTGGCTGGTCCAAACACGGATGCCACACCTAGCTGGGGAGTCAGCCCCCACCTCCATAGACAGAGGCAGGAGCCCCTCAGAGAGCCCCTTAAGACCCCTGCGTGGTGGGGGTTGTCACTGAGGCCAGAGTCAGGAGCACTGACCCTGGCCAGCACAGGGGCATCTTCCTGCTACTGGCTCTGCACCAGAGCCAGGAAGCCCAGAAAGAGATCCCAACCCCTTGCTCAGGATCCAACTTTGGGGTGAAGCCTGTGCCCAGCGGTGTCCCCTGGCCCGTCCACCATCACCCAGGAGCCCATTGGTGTTCCTGTCCCCACCAGCAGCTGCCCGGCTTTAGTCACCAGCATCCAGCCTGCTTTGCCATAATTAAAGTGCAGGGTCTGTATGGGGACACTGGCCATGGAGGCATCGTTTCCAAGTTGCACAGCCCAGGGCAAGGAAGGTGACTGGGTGACAGGACCCAGTGGACCCTGCTAAACCACCTGGGGCTCCTTCAGTGGGTCTGTGTGGAGGAAGCAGCTCCACCCCACCCCCCATGGTGCAGGTGGCAGCAAAAGCAAGGGGTGGGGAAGAGGGAGTGGGGATCCCCAGAGAGGGGGTCCCCCTGGCTGGGCAGCCCTGTTGGACCCCCTTCTGTGTCCTGGCCTGGCCCATCAGAGAGCCTGCATCATGGACCCCGGGGCCCCCATTCTGGGCCTTGAGTGTGTCCCTGGCCTGTGACACTCACACATGCCCTGTCTGAGGAACCTCACTCACAGCCTCCAGCCCCATGCGGGCCGGCCTGACTCCCAGCTCCCCAGTGTCCAGCTCCTGGCTCAGCTGGGAGCAAGTGTTGGGAAATGTTTGCCAGGTGAGCAAGGGGCCGGCCAAGGCTGCCCAGGAGGGGGTCCAGGCTAGTCCCCCATTTTCATGTCCACCCAGAGCCAATGCCCAGGGTGCTGGGGCAGGGCTGGGGGTGGGAGCAGACCCTTCCTCAAATCCTGCCCCCCACCAAGTACCCTGGAAGAGCTGCTGTCCTGAGCATGGCAGCCACCCTTGGAAGGAGGTGAAAGAGAGATAGGGCGGGGGTTAGCCCTGTGGGGGCGTCCTCAGGACCTTCACTCTCCTCGGGGCTCCCGGGACTGCCAGCTGCTTCTGCAGACAGCCTCCCCGCTGCCTCCCGAGCATGCTGACCCCTGCGGCTGCCCTGCACACACCTGCGATCTAGCCTCCAGGCTCACCCAGCAAACAGTTGGGGGCAGGTGGCCCGACATGATGGTCGTCCTGCGCCTGAGCCACGGTCTGTGTGGGAGGCCCAGGTTTCAGGGGACAGGGAGGCACATCTGTGTGTCTATCAGGCGTGGTCACCCAGGCATCTGGGCCTCGCATGGCCAGGGGATTCGGGGGAGAGCGCTGGTGCCCCTGGGTATCTCCGAGCCTCAGTGACCACATCTGTGAAGTGGGAAAGAGACCCCTGCTCTTCTGAAGCATCTCCGGGACCCAGATGGAGGGGGCAGGCTGGAGCCAGACCCCACCACGGGCTGATCTGGGGCTTTTCTGAGCCGCCTGGGTGTCCCCATCTGTAAAAGGGGATGACACTGCCCGCCTGCTGAGTGGGGGTGAGGGTTACATGCAATAATGGTCATAAAAGGCTGAAAGTCGGAATTACTCATGAAGCAGCATGAAGCAGTCACTGCTGCCATGTCCACTGGCCCTGGTCCACACTGATTTCTGCTTGAGGGAGATTCCCACCCACCAGGCTCGCAGCTGGCACACTGGGAAAGCCTAAGCCTCGACGGTCCCTGGGCGGTCCCTGGGCAGTCCCAGGCACGGGAGGGGCTGACTTCTAGT